TTCGAGACTTGGTGCTACCCAGAACAGGGTGGCTGTAGCTCCAGGTGTCATCCCCATGACATGCCGAACAGCAGTACAAGGCCACATCTGGGCCCAACTCCTTACTCACAATCATTTTTTCTGTTCCATTTCCATAGTTGATAAATGAGAACTTCTGCCAGAAAAGCAGACTCCATCCACTGCTGCGCACCCACAGTATGTCTACATGTTGGGGGCAAGCCCGTGGGCCCCACTGCCCTTGGGCAGGTGCCATCGAGCAGCACTTAATAATGCAATTTTTAATTTTTAAAAAAGATCAAAATGCTTCTGGGCACAGTGGTACATATCTCTAATCTCAGGTAATTGGAGTCTGAGGCAGGAGGATCACAAATTCAAGACCAGCCTGGACAACTTAGCAAGACCCCTTCTCAAAAAATATAAATAAATAAATAAACTAAAAGGGCTGGGGATGTAGCTCAGAGGTAGAATTATCCTGGTTCAATACCCAGTATCAAAAAAGAACTCTAAATACATACCAATCAAAATAATTTACGATATTACAAACAAAAGGACAGTTGATTCAACAGATGGAAGAACAAGAATTTATATAACTGAACATTCAATCATTATAAGCTCTCTTAACAAAAAGAAGACAGGGAGTGACCTCAGCAAGATGGCAGACTAGGACTTCCCAGTGCTTTTTTTCTCCTCTGTGTACAAAAGTACAGATAAGAAGAGCTAAGGAATCAAATGAGAAGTTACAGCACATGCCTGGAGCATAGGAATAAGAAGAGACTCATTAAAGATAGTAGGAAGCACAGATTCACATTATCTGGGTCACTCTTTCCCCACGACCAAGCAGGCCTTGTCCTCCACATGGGGGAAAAGAAAGTTAGCTGATTACTGGACTTTGCCACCATCCCAGCACTAGACCTGCCCTAGTGAACACCAGTGACAGGTCAGCCCCTGTTTCCCCAGGCACAGGGTTAGATCCAGGCCAGCAGTAACAACATCCCAACCCTAGACCCATCCTGGGCTTCAGACCTAACCCAGGCTCCATCCAGCCCCTATAGAGTCAAGCTCAAGGCTCATCCCAGCAATAGGTTGTCTTCTGCAGCCCTAGCCAGGAAGCCCACTGCTGTACCAGGACGGCCCTTACAACATCAGGCTTCAGACCAGATCCAGACTCCAGACCCACCCGCATAAAAACAGGCACAGGAATTGCCCCAAGAGACTCCAGCATCATATCAGCACCTATACCAGCCTATGCCAACACCAGACCAGCCCCAGCAGACTCAGGCTCAAGGCCGCCTCAGTGTCTGAACAGCCCCCATGAATCCAGGTGTCCCTATGGATATAGGCTCCGGGCCCTCATCCTCACTAGGACCCAGTGAACTGGCCAACTGAAATGGACCGTGGTGCTAGGCCTGCCACCATAAACTCAAGTGCAAGTCTCACTGCACAGACTTAGGCCAGGCCCATCCACCACTGGCCAGACACCAGGCCTGAGGACTCCAGCAGCAAGCCCACATTAGACCCTACCGTGTAGCCAGCTTAGAATCTGAAGACAGGCTGACTGATAAAGGGCTTTTCTGGTCAAGGTCAACCTATAAAGACTGAATGAGTAGCTATTTCAACAAATGCACAGACACCAACACAGACTACAGGATCACAAATAACCAAAGATGATGACATCACTAGGGGAACAAAATAAAACATCAGTAACAGACCCTAAAGAAATAGAGAACTCACAACAATTCCAAATAATTATCATAAAGAAGCTCAGTGAACTACAAAAGAACACAGATGGTAACTAAATAACATCAAGAAAATAACACAGGGACAAACTAGAAGTTTAACAAAGAGATAGAAACAAACAACACAACCACTCAATAGCAAGAAAACAAACCAATTTTTAAAATGAGCTAAAGACCTGAATAGATATTTCTCAAAAGAAGACATGCAAATATCCAACAGGTGTGTGAAAAATGCTCAATATCACTAATCATCAGAGAAATGCAAATTAAAAACCATGTGATATTAACTCCTGTTAAAATGTCTATTATCAAAAAGACAAAAGATAAATGTTGACAAGGATGTGAAGAAGAGGAGATCCTTATTCACTCTTGATGGGAATGTAAATTTGTATAGCCATTATGGAAAACAACATGGAGCTTGCTGAAAAAATTTAAAAATAGAACTGTGATATGCTCCAGCTTCTGAGGAAATATCCAAAGGAAATGAGTATCCTGAAAAGATACTTGCACTCCCATGTTTATTGCAGAATTATTTGCAAAATACTGAACCCACCTAAGTGTCCATCAACATATAAATGAACAAAGAAAATGTGCACATACACTGGAATATTAATCCACCTTAAAAAAGAAGGAAACCGTGCCCATTGTGACAACAGGGATGACTTTAAAGGACACTATGTTAAGTGAAATAAGCCAGGCACAGAAAGATGAGTATTATATGACATTACGCCTAGGTGGAACCTAAAAGGCAGGGATTAGAATGATGGCTTCCAGGGACAGAAGCATGAGAGAAGTGGGGAGATAACAGTAAAATGGTACAAATGTTCAGTTTCAAGGTGAATATGTCTTGAGGAATTAACGTAGTGCCTAGTGACTACGGTTAATAATCCTGTGTTAGTTACTTGAAATTTACTAAGTGTCCCTACCACACACACAAACACAAAGTGTATAACTAATGATGGACCTGTGATTAATTTGATTAGAAATGACCCCTATGCAATGTACAATGTACATCAAATCACCACATTGCATCCTGAATATATGATTCTTACTTGCTGGAAAAAATAGAAATAAAGCCATGAACTTTTACTATTTAAAAAAAAAAAAAAGACTGAATCAAGCTGAGCATGGTGATACATGCCTATAGTCTCACCTCCTTGTGGCTGAGGTGAGAGGATCACTTGGACCCATGAGTTGGAGACTAGCCTGGGCAACATAAGAGACCCCTTTCACGGAAAAAAAAAAAGTGAATCTAACAAAAAATTTACTGGACTCTTAAATAGGAAAAATTTGATATTTTTAAATGATCCTCATAACTGGGTATATAGTAGTCATAAATTGAGGGTCCCTGTTATGAGAGCTTCTTCTCTGAATGGTTTGAATCAGTTCAGTTCAATTGACTTAAACTATTCAACAAATGTGTGTGTGTTCAAGCCATTATTACAGCATTTTTCAATTCTGTTTTGTCTTATTCCGTTTTGTTTTATGGTACTGGGAATTGAACCCAGGGTGCCAAATCCCACTCCTTTTTGTTTAGTTAGTTATTTTAATTTTGAGACAGGGTCTCATTAAGTTGCTAAGGCTGGCCTGGAACTCACAATCCTCCTGCCTCAGCCTCCACAGTTGCTGGGATCACAGGGGCGCACCACTGTGCCCAGCTACAACATTATTCTTATTGGCAAAATCCTGGGCTATTCCTTCAACAGGAAATTCAATGGATAATACATTATATCATCGAACAATGATGCATCTTACAATAATGAAAATTAACAAACCACAGCTATATAGAAATATCTGGGTGGATCTCAAAAACATAAAATGGTGAACCAAAGAAGTAAGACCAAAAACAGACTACATAGTACGTCATTCCATTTATATAAATTCAAAAGCATGAAAACCTAAAATAAATGTTAAGGAAGGGATACTGGTTATTTAGCTTATAAAGAAGAGGAGTGATTAGCAGAATGGGACAAAGGACAGCTTCAGGAGCAAGCAATGCTCTACATTTTGATCCAAAAAATGATCACAGGTGTTGCTTTGTAAAAATTCATTGGAAAATGTGCTTATGTTTTATGCATTTTTTTCTGCATATGTCTTATAATTCACTGATTTTAAGAAATAGTTTTGAATATACATAATGAGATATCATCACGCCACCATAATATCTATAGTTCTGATTTCCAAAAGACTCTGGCAACACAAAGCTTTTTTAAAAGCCTGCAGCAAACTCATTTAGAAACAAAACCTGATCTAAGTTGATATGATAATTCTAAACTTTAGTAGGCCTACTTAATTTATTCTGTGGTAGACATGCTGTGTGTCTGGTTAACAGAGAGTTCTGTTCAACCTAGCGGAAGAATCATAGATGATACACACACAAACCATTTAAAATTCAAAAGTCCTGCTGGGTGCTACAATCCAAGCAACTTGAGAGTCTGAGGCAGGAGGATTGAAAGCTGGAGTCCAGCCTGGCCCATGTAGTAAGACTTTGTCTGAAAATAGAAAATAAAAAATGCTGGGGATGTAGCTCATGGATAAAGCATCATTGGGTTCAATTTCCAGATTCAAGGAAGGAAGAGAGAAAAGGAGGGAGGGAGAAAGAAAAAAAAAAGAGAGAGAAAGGAAAAATTCCAAAGTCCAGAAACCCACAATACAGCTTGTATTGGGATGCTAATGGCCTGAACCAGACATCAATAAACAACACTGCTCCACAGCAACATGAGTTAGCATGAACCGACTTCAAACATACAATACTGACAAAAATAAGAAAATTATTTTTTAAAAAAAGAGTTTCACAGAAAGGACAAAACATGCTAAAAAATGCATAGCCATATGAAATAATGGGCATGGTAATTTGTTTCACTACTACATGATAATTTGTTTTACTATCTGTATGTCTCCCATATCTTGTGCTAAAAACTTTAAATATACACAATAAAATTTATTTTAAAAACAAAAGTGCATACCCAGACAATATAATATTTAGTTAGATATGTGTATGTGATAAAAATATGAAGAAAACTAAAGGAATAATCACAGTAATTGTTTCCTTTAAGGGGAGAGGAACAGGAATGAGGAATGTTATCAGAGAAAGGCAAAGAAGGGGTTTCTAAGTGATAGAAATCAATCATTCTATCTTACTGACCTTCTGAGAGGCAAGAACATGGACATTCATTTTATTTTCGTTCTCTAAACAGCAAGATATGTTTAGACCTTCTTTCGTATGTAAGGCAGATTTTACAACAAAGATCAACAAATATATCCATGGATTCCCAGATCAGCACCTGTGCCTTCGGTAAGTTCTGCATATTGGTAATTCTTTGGCTCCATCAGATCATTAAAAAAAAAAAAAAGACTGTGACTTCTACAGGACATGTGAAGCTCATGACTATGAAAGCCCATCTATTTCAGTATTACTTTTTACTTGTTGTTTTGGCTTAGATGTGAAATGCCCCAAAACTCATGTGTGAGATAATGCAAGAAAGTTCAAAGGTGAAATGATAAAAGAGAGTTGTAACCTAACCAATGGCTTAATTCACTGATATGGATTTCCTGGGTGGTAACTAAAGGCAGGAAGAGTAGAACTGGAGGAAGTCGGTCATTGGGTCATGCCTTTGGGTTTTACATTTTGTCCCTAAGGAGTGGAGCGCACTTGCTGCTTCCTTGTTGTTGTGTCCTGAGTTGCTGTCCTCAGCCATGCCCTTCTGCTATGAGTTCTGCCTCACCCTGGGGCCAGAGCAAGGGAGTTGGTCATCTATGGACTGAGACCTCTAAAACCATGAGCCCCAAATAAACTTTTCCTCCTTTACATTGTTCCTGTCAGGTCTTTTGGTCACAGCAGCATAAAAACTGACAAAAACACTGTCTACTTGGAAGGTACTGTGTTTCACCCAAGAGGATTGGACTCTACTTAGAAAGTATGAACTCCAAGACCAGGACAGGCCCTGTTCAGTGTCAGGGCTAATTATGATGAAACCAATTTGAATCTCACCCAGGGGAAGTAGCAGGAGCAGTGGCAGCTCTGGATACTCTGAATGGAGGCATCACTGACACTGCTGAAACTCTGGAGGCCACAGTCCAGAGAGGACAGCTGGGAAGTTGGACAATTGCCCTATCGTTAACTAGCAGGTCTGGGATACAGTCCCAGGAGACACAGTGTGCAGAAAGTCAGCAGCTTTTCCTAGATCCTGTGTCTAAGGCCTCCTGCCCTGAGTCTTCAGAATGTGCAGAAAGGAACTTGTGGCTCCCATGATGCCTTCTTGGAGAGACAAAGAAGCAGAGAACCCAATCTCTTCAGTGATGGGACCAGGGACAGAGCTTGGCCAGAGTCTCTAAGCATGGAGGCACAAGACTGGAAAGATAGCAGAGTCTACCTAAGGTGCACACACACACTCAAACACACACACACACCTTACAGCTCCTCCCTTTTTCCTTTTCCCCCTCCTCTTCCTTTCTCCCTCTCAACCAGTCATTTTCTGATTCTTCTTATCAATGAGGGTCACTTACCTCTAGTGCTCATCAGGCCCTTGATGGTCCAACCTGTGATCATTAAGGAGAACAGGACTCAGAACAACTTCCCCAGGCTCCAGCAGTGTCAGAACACAGGACCCGCACAGTAACAAAACCTGCGGACATGAGAACTTTGTAAATTGAATGGCCCTTTGTCAGGAAAGAGCATCTTATTTTCATTTGCATCATCAACCCTACCCCCACAGCATCCGTCACGACATGAGGCCATGAGTCCCCAGTGGGCATTGTTCCCAGAATCACTCTCAGCCACCACCCTAAGTCAACACCACACTCTCCCCCTTCATATGCACTTACAATTTATCAAACTCTTTACATCCTTTCTTTTAAACCATCAAATAACTGCTTAATATGTACTTTTTATCACTGCCATAGTTAATGATATTGGGGATTGAATAATCAAGTCATCTGACGAGTTTACCCAGGGTTTCCAGATTTCAAAAATGCTTTGCCACAGACAGGTGGGAGTGCAATCATAATCACCCAAGGTTAGTGACATCAGTGATATTGATGACTCTTCATCTCACATCACCCAATTCACAAGACCCTCTCCCATCAGGTAGTGACCAGAATCAATGGCCCTCTTCATTTACTAACAACACTGGCAAATATGTAAACAGATGGAGGATACCAGAAAGAGAAGGTGACCTTCTCAAAGTCACAGGGAGAGTAAAAAGTGAGGAAATCCTGTCCCATTCGAGAGGGCACATTATCCTTGTAATCATCACACTAAGCAGGTATGAGATGAGCTGCTGCCACTGCATATTCCATCTCTTCCTCCTACTAATAATCAGGAACCTTGGAATTGCTCATTTCTACCGTATGTCATGGTTCACAAAGAAATTTTTCAAGTGATTCCAGCCAGCCCGTGACCCCTCAGTACATCCACCAGGCAGGATGATTATCTGCTTCTATTTACCAGTAAAGTGAGGCTCAAAGGGGGCTAATATTTACAAAAGTGAAAAAAGGTGAGAAACTGAGCTGTAAAGCCTGCTGTCTACACAAGCGAGGCACTGTGGGTCCCAGGCTCAGATGCATCATCTGCTACTGCGCTGGGAGTAATGATGACTCCCACATTGAAGGAGTGCCTTTAACATGCTATCTCACGATGACTTCAGTGACTCTATGAAGCTGGTACACACTGCACAGACAAAAAATGGAAGTTCAGGGAGACAAGTGACTGCCCAAGAAGTCAGAGAAAAAAGAAAGAGAAAAGATTCCCAGCACTCTAGACCTTAAAGCCCATGATCCTGAAACTGATGCTGCAGCTGATACTGTTGATGACAAAAATGAAACAATGTGCCCTGTAATGACAAAGGACTATTCCATTTATGATGTTTTAACATCCATGTTAACTCATTGGAAAGTTCCTTGAAGACAAAAGGGCAGAGCACTCTTAGTATACCAGGGATTAATCCCAAGGGCACTTAACCACGGAGCCATATCCCTAGTCCTAGTTTCCCCCTCTCCTCTTTTTGTGTATTTTATTTAGAGACAGGGTCTCACTCAGTTGCTTACAGCCTCGCTAAGTTGCTGAGTCTGGCTTTGAACTCATGATCCTCCTGCCTCGGCCTTCCAAGCTGCTGGGATTACAGGTGTGCACCATGGTGCCCAGCTTCACTTCCTTTAAATGCACACTCACATATATAGGTGCACCTCGAATCACCCACTAAATCCTAGAATTACATGAACCCAAAACAAGCTCCACAACATAGAGATTGAAAAAAGTTGCTGTAAAATATACAAAGGAATTAAAGCTTAGAGAGGTTCATTCCAGCTGAAATCCAGCTCAGCCTCATTCAGTCACATGGGGGTCAACTTGCCTGATCACAGGAACCTAGATACCAACACCCCCAAGGTGATGCCTGATTATCATGGTCCATGGTCCCCCAACTTTTCATGTTTGTATACATGTAATTATATCTACTACTGAATCTCAGTGTCCTCTTGAAGGAACAGAGAAAAAAACATCAAAGTTCTTGGACTCTGTGATTTTTAGAACCTACTTTTTGTAAACAACACTCTGCTCTATTTTCTCTATCTTGGAAATTAGAAAGCAAACCATCGTCTCTGACTTCCTGCTTCTGGGCTTCTCTGAGCACCAGGAACAGCAACCCCTCCTGTTTGGGCTCTTCCTGGGCATGTACCTGGTCACCCTGCTGGGCAACCTGCTCATCATCCTGGCCATTGGCTCTGACCCGCACCTCCACACACCCATGTACTTCCTGGCCAACCTGTCCTTCGTGGATACCTGCTTCACCTGCACCATTGTCCCCAAGGTGCTGGTGAACATCCACACGCAGCAGCACACCATCTCCCACACTGGGTGCCTCCTGCAGATGTACTACTTCATGGCACTGGCCCTGCTGGATGACTTCCTGCTGGCTGTCATGGCCTATGACCGCTACGTGGCCATCTGCCTGCCTCTGCACTACACCATGGTCATGTGTCCCCAGCTGCTGGTGGCCACGTCCTGGCTCTGCTCCATCCTCCTGGCCTTTTCAGCAGATTTTGGAATGGTGGCATCTGTGATATACACAATGGTCACCTCTATGCTAAGCCCCTTTATCTACAGCTTGAGGAACAAGGGTATAAAATGGGCTTTATGAAGACTACTTTGCTGGAGGAGATGTTCTGCCCCATAGAAAGCCCTTCTGCCTAAGTTCCCAGACTTTTCAACACATTTTCCTCCCTAGACTTCCACATTTAATATATGGGGGAAAAAAAATCACATTAAAGCAGACAGATGCTTAACTTGAAATGAAGACTCTGACACTGTAATTGTAAATAGTTAAAGATGTGGCAAATAAACTAATGAAACTGGCCGCAGAGATAGCTAAAAGAGACCACTCTCCCTGGGGTGTGGAGCTCCTAGGGGGCTCCCGGCCCTGGATAGCCCCCCTAATCGGGCCTTTATCAATGATTCTCTTAGTAATTCTTATAGGTCCTTGCATTTTCAATTGCTTCCAAAATTTCTTGATGAACCGGATAAAGATCTTCACCAGTCAACCAACCATATGGTCCTGGGTAGCTACACAAGACTCCAACCTGAAGGATACCCAGAGGATCACAGAATGACCACACCTGGAAACTATTAAAAAAAAAAAAAAAAAAAACTTAAACCCCATGACCACACTTCCCTACCTGGAGACCACTGGCCCTTCCCAGCTGCAAGTAGCTACAGAAGACTGACCTTTCAGCCCTCTGCCATAATAAAACAAAAAAAAAATTTAAAAAGGGGAAAATAATGGGATATCCTAGACTTAGTAACTCCATTTTGGTTCTGGGACTCAGAACCTTAGGATACTCTGTTCCCATAACCACCCCACTTCCAAGTTCCCTAAATACAAAAATCTGTTGTTACCCAAATACCTGCACCCCGGGTCAATATTAGCTTGATGCACCCAAGGTCATTTTCAGCTTGCTCTTGTTTCCTGTTTAAAAAGATTTAAAAACCCTATTCAAATAACTCTGGCTGCTGTGCCACTCTCCTGGGCAGCCTCGCAGGCCTTACCTGCTAATAAATTTTGCTTTCTGAGTATGAGACTCTGTCTCGAGAAATTTCTTTGAGAATTCTATCCTAACAGTTGGAAATTCTAAGACTAATTAACAGACATTTAAAAATGCCACTGAAGAAAACTAGAAGAATGGCTCCAGCAAGTTACCTGACATCGGTGGCAGAATATCAATCTGTTCAAGTGCCCACAGAACACTAACCAAGATAGACCACACACACAGAGTAACATGGATCAAACCCAAAACATTAATCTACATGAATAAAATCAGAGACTAGGAGCTGGAGTTGTGGCTCAGCGGTGGCTGAGCGTTTGCCTCGCAGGTGTGAGGAGGTGGGTTCAAGCCTCAGTACCACATAAAAATAAATAAACAAAATAAAGTTATTTTGTCCATCTACAACTAAAAAAATATTTTAAAAAATCAGAGACTAAAAGCTATACGTATGCTCCATTGTGTTAAAGCAACACAACACTCACTGAGACACAGTGTATCATTGAACTATCAACTCTATGATGGTTTTCCTCTCTTCTTTACTTTCCCAGCAAACTTTGTTAAGTCATAGGTCTCCAAACCTTGCACACAACTATAGTTTCTGAAAACATAGGTGTATCTGAGAAAGATGGCTCCATCTGACATATAAAATACAGAATTTATTATGCTGAATTTGGTCTTAGGTCATGAAAACATTGGATCATAGCCAATTTTTTCCCATATGACTCCAGGGCATGGAAACCCCATGTGACCAGTCATTCCAAGAGTATACCAACCAGACGGGCTCTGTTTTATTGCACACAGCTATACGGAAATACTGTGTCTTGGCGAGGGTAGTGCTGCTGGGAGTTTGGGGTGTTGTTGTTGTTGTTGTTATGTATTGTAGCAATGGGTATCACATAATAGCACTCATTGCCTTGAATAGATTATATCATTTAGTTCTTTGTTTGTTTTGTTTTTGTTTTTGTCTTCATTATCTTTCTTCCTCTGACAAAACATAAGATTCAGATGTCATTGGCTCTTTGTTCAGAATATGGTTCATTGAAGACACTCCATAAATATTTATTAAGTCAACAAATGAGCTTTTTTCCTTCCTCTGCATCACCCACCACAGCCCATCGCCAAGTTCCATTGATTCTACTCCAAAGAATTTATCAAATCCATGCTCTCAAATCCTCTCTCCTTGTACACTGTCATACCTCAGACCAGATCAATGTCATCTCTGTCCTGGACTATGAACAGGCCCCTGACTGGTCTCCCTTAAATCCTTTCTACTCGCACACCAATCAGAGTGATCACTTGAAAGGGTACATCATGATGTAGCCCTTCCTTAAGCATCTCAGTAGTTATTCATTATTTGGGGGATATAAAAGAAAGACATATATTCCACATGGCCAGAAAGTCTCCACTATTTTGGCCTCTGCCTCTCTCTGTAGGCACAGCAGCACCCCCTCTCACCACTCTCTGAGCACAAGCCCCATGGGCCTTCTTTCAAGTCTTCAAATGTTCCACTTGCATTCCCACTTCCAAGCCCTTGAACATGCCTTTACTCTCTCCTGAGATACTTATCTCTCCCCAATATTTTTTGTTTAGTCAACTTTGACCCTTTCTCCCTGCAAGTTTCATGAAAGGGACCATGGCTTTTCCATTCATAATTTTATCCCACACTCTGAGAAGTTCAGAGCATAGCAGAATTAATAAACACTAGTTACAACTAAAGAACACTTTGCTAACCTGAAGGACAGGTTAGCTGTAAGTCACATTATAGAAATTAGGTGATGCCATATCATAACCACCTACTCCCTAGAGCCTGAGTCACTTGGCCCTGACTTCAGGCTCAGCCCCATTCCCATCTCCAAGGAGTGGTTCTTAATCCTACATGGACATTCCAAGTGGTTTTAAATCATGAGAGCTAAAAAAAAATCACTCATGCCTGGACCCATCTCTAGCAATTCTGACTTGATTTCCTGGGTGCTTACTCTATACCTGGCCCTGACCTCAGTTTGCTTCCAGTCTAGGACAGCATCATACACAGTCATCTGGGTCCTTGTCTGTCTCTGACTCATGCTATTGTGTGAGCATCTTCAAGATGCACAGTGGAAAAGAGAAGCTCTGGGGGCCTGGGGCTGTAGCTCAGTGGCAGAGTGTTGCCTAGCATGCATGAGGCACTGGGTTCAATCCTCAGCACCACATAAAAATAAATAAAGGCATTCTGTCCATCTACAACTACAAAAAAAAAAGAGTATCTCTGCTGCAGAGGCAGGAAGTCATCCTACAGAAGGCAATATCTGAGCTTTTCCTAAAGGAAGAGTTTACCAGTAGATGAGGAAGAGGCAAGATATTTCAGGCAAGAGGAAGAGCATAACTTGTTAGAACCACAAGAAAAAAATTGAGTTTGTGTAGTAGGGCTTCAAAGATTCTAAAGCATAGTGAAATATTTATATACTGAGTTCCAAAGAAAGTGAGCCAAAGGGACCCCTTTCGTGGAGTATGTTTGTCTTCCCCACATAGAGCCTGGGGACCCACTCAGTCAAACTTCTCTAATCTCCCCAGGAACTAAAAAGTGAATCATCCCTGGCAATCCCCTGCCACCCACTGTCACAACATCCACAAGGGATATGGAGATTCTCCATGGACTCTGGGATAGCAGAGAGAGAAGGAAGCTTCAGGAGGAAAACAGAAAGCCATTCCCTCAGGGGCCAAGAAGACTTTAAGTCCCCTCTTCCTACCTCCTGGCTGGGGCGCATCCCTGCTCCCTTCTCTTCCATTTTCACCCCCAAAGACTGGACTGAAGCTGCTCTGATGAAGAGCTCCCTACCTACCTCCATTTATAGGTATGTCCTTAAAACCCATAACCACACACCATCACAGGGACAGCAGCTGGTGTCTGGGTCAAGGCATATTACATGACTGCATGCTGAGGAGAAATAAGCTAAGAATTCAGGGTTGTTAAGAAAAGGGCAAGCCACACATTGAGAAATGGCAGGAGGCCACCTTAACCAGACTGGAAGCTCGGCTTGGGAGGGCCAGATCAGCTGTACATCAGAATCACCCCGAAAAAAAAATTGGAGATGGGTAGAGATTGAACCCAAGATACTTTAACACTGAGCCCAACCCCAGTCCTTTTTTTTTTTTTTTTTTAAGACAGGGACTTGTTATATTGCTTAGGGCCTGCACTAAGTTTCCCAGGCTGCCTCAGCCTTCCAGGGGGAATCAGAGGTGTACACCACCACACCAGCTATCTAGAACTTTTTTTTTTCAGTTGCAGATTCCTGAGCCTCACTCTGGATCAATTGTTTAGAATTTCTGGGCACTTGTGTAGCAATGTAGCTTTCCACAAAATTCCACCAGTAATTCTAATGACACCAACCCATAGAGTAGAGTGGGAAACGTTGATCTGGTCCAAACTGCTTAATCTATAGATGAGGGGACAAAAAAAAACTGCAACCAGTAACTTGGTAATTTATTAAGAGGCATACTTATGGTCTCTTTTCAGAGACAGCATTTTAAGGAAATATAAGGAGATCTGAGCTCAGGTTCCAGATCTACCCCTTCATAGCTGTGTATTCTGGGACAAGCCCCTTCCCTTCTTCAGAACTCAGTTTTCTTACTTTCAAGATAATATATCCCCCTATCCAGAGAAGGAAAGGGTCTTGGGGACACTGGAGAAGAGATCAGATGCACCAGGTGGGCAGCCTCCTGAGCTGGAGCAAATCTTTAAGAAGCAGCAGAAGAAGTGAAGGCTGGGAGCCAACACATACTGACCCAGGTGGGACCAGTCTGTTCTCAGTAAGTGTTTTAAGAGCTAGGGAGTCAAGGACACGGATTTGTAACAACAAACCCCACCATTGTGTTCAACTATAATGCACTGATAAATATATATATATATATATATATATATATATATATATATATATATACATGGAAAAGAAAGAAGGTCAGGCATGTGAAGGCAAAGCCTTTCTTCAGTTACAGAAATGGGTTCCATACAGCATTCCCCTCACACATGCTCCTCACATTCCTGAAAGGGAAGAATAATCCAAGGCATAGGGATCAACCATCCCAGTTTGCCAGGAATGGAGGGGTATTTGGAATACAAGACCCTCAGGGATAAAACTGGGACAGTTCTAGGCAAACTGGGACAGTTGGTCACCCTAATCCAAGCAGGGAGGGTGGATGGATGGAATTTCCTTTACTGCAGAATGGAATACATAAAAGCCTTTAGCCAGTCACAGTGAATATATGAGGTAGCTGCTTTCATCATTCCAAAAGAATTTACTGAACACCCACTTTGTGCCCAGCTATACCAGATACTTGGAAATAACAGTGAAAGAGACACTACCTCCATTCTCATAGAACTTACAGCTGAAGAGAGGAATACTTCACAACTTTACGGTGATGTTGAACTCTCCAAGTTACCTTCTGCCCACCCTTTCTGCTTAGTTTGCTACCTTTACAACATGCACCAAAGTAAATTCCAGATGCACTAAACATTTAACCATAAAAATGAAACTATGAGCCAGGCAAGGTGGTGCAGGACTATAATCCCAGAGGCTCAGGAGGCTGAGGCAGGAGGATGATGAGTTCAAAGCAAGCTTAGCACCTTGCCGGTGCTAAGTGAGACTTAGTGAGACCCTGTCTCTAAATGAAATACAAAATAGGGCTAGGGATGTGGCTTAGTGGTCAAGTGGCCCTGAGTTCAATCCCTGGTACTGCCCCCCCTCAAAAAATGGAATTATGAAAGTATAACAAGAAAAACATAGGAGATATTTTTACAATCTTAGAATAGATAGGTACATATGTACATTGATACATAAATAGATACATAGACTTCAGAAGCTTTAAACCCAGGGACTCAAATATAAATGTGCAATTAAACAAATCACAAAAGTTGAAAAGATTAGAAAATGAACTTTTATATATAATTGTAATGCACTACTTCAAAATAATAATAATAGAAGAGAAACCATTAGAGTAGAAAAATGTGGCTGGGAGGGAGGAGTAGGTAGGGAAAGAGAAGGTGCTGGGGAATGAGAGTGATCAACTTATGTGCATGTATTAATATGCAACAATAATGCACCAATAAAAAACCATTAAGAAAAGAAAGTCAACTTTAGACTAAATAGAGCCAGGAGCCTTAAAGTTCAGTCATCTGGTTCCTCTAGCACAGATTAGCACCTGAGAGCAAATCCAGAAATGATTTTTTGTGGAAGCCTGAGTCCTCCTGTTTCCTTGGCAAGTCCTACATGGAACTACACATCCAACCTAGAATTTCAAGTTTTCTTCCCATTGGTAGTAAGACAAGAGAGAGAGACATTAATGGAGAATTATGTTACTTACACACACACACACACACACACACACACACACACCATAAAATCTACTTAACTGAAGCTTAAGGATCTTTGCACCAAAAATGTCAAAGCAAAAAATAAAAGCCCTGAAATCTTATTATCCCCATTTTACAGTTGGAAAAATGGAAAGGCACTTGAAGCAGTTACACCCCTCACTTTGTAAGGGTGAGTGATGATGACTTTCCAGGTCGATAGAACGAAACACACAGGGGTTGGCTGTCAACCGGGTTCTGCACGCAGAATTTCATTCAGGCAGCTGATTCTGTTCATGGGCAACCTGTAGTTGAGCGGAGCTGAAAGCCCACGATTTTTTCCACCAGTGACCCCAAGTAGGAGAAGGGAGAGATCCCTAAACACCTGTGTCCCCAAGGGTGGAAGGGTGAACTAGGCATGGTGCCTGAACTCAAGATGCTCAATTAGGTGGAGGACAAACACTTAGGTAGGGTTATTATAGGACAATGAAGTGCCACGCAGTGTGATGGAGCAACGAAACATAGTCCTCTAGTCTACTGAGCTTTGGACCCTTTGGCATTTCCCCGTCCTCCCTTGCTCCAGCCTCTAGTAACTACCTTTCTGCCCTCTGTTTCTAAGAGATCAACTTTTTAGATTTTGCTAATGATTGCAGTTAATAATCAGCTATTATTATTATTATTATTATTATTAATTTTGTACTTTCTTATCAATCTGTATTTTTTTGCAAGTTCTGGTTTTGAGCTTTCTCCATATTGATGCATCTAAGTGACTCCTTTCCCATTTAATCCCCATGAGGTAATTGATAAAGATTGGGTATCACAAATGGTTGGCCATTGTGAAGTCAAGGAGTGCATGCACCCTTAAGCATGTCTCCCTGTATACACATGTGAATGTTTTCAAAAGTAAACACCCATAAGTGGAATTACTAGGTGTGATGGAATACACAAATGTGAGCCCAAAATCCATGTTGAAATCCTAATCTCCAATATGTAGTTGGTATTCAGAAAGGGGCCCTTTGAGAGATAATTAGGTTAAATGAAGCCCTTATGTTACTGCAAGATTACAGTAAATCACCAAGTCGATCTTAAAGCAGGAGACGGAAACATCCACCAGATGGCAGGTGGCTGCAAGTCTATAAACCCTCCCCGGGAGTCAAATACACCTTTTATAGTCCAAAACCATATTAATCATAAGTGGCTGTTGCTATGACTCAAAATCATAACCAAACGTCATGAGATCTAAAAACATAAGAAGAAGGGGCAGTGGGTCAAAACATCCCTAATTGAGTGCAAGTTAAAGAATGGTTACTAATGTCTGGATAATCAATCTCTGACAGGTACATTGTTCAAGAAAAATGAGAACCAAAAAGAGAACAATTTTATATTGTATAAGAATTGCCATTTTGTGTCACCAAACAAGCTATGCTAAGCAACTGTTGATGGGCACAGAGGCGGGGTGTTCCCATGGGAGAAGCATTTCTTACATGATGTGGAGTCTCAGGGTAAAAGGGAATCTGTTTGGTCTTTGCCCATGTACCCTGGCCCATAACAGTTAGGGTGGGGTCCTCATGATAGAATCAGTGCCCTTATAAGAAGAGATCAATGAATGTTCCCTTTCTCTCTCTCTCCCTCTCTCTCTCTCTTCCCTCCCCTTCTCCCTCCCTCCTTCTCCCCTTCTCTCTCTCTCTCTCTCTCAACCTTCCCTTCCCCTTCCCCCATCTCTCCACTATGTGAAAATACTGCAAAAAGGTATCTGTCTGCAATCTAGAAACACAGCCCTCACCAGAATCCAACTATGCTGACACCTTGATCTGATCTCAGACATCTCAATCTCCAGAACTGGCACTTTTCTATAGAAACTCAAGCAGGCTATGAAACTAGGGTATGCACAGTTATGGAAAATGTCCCAATTTACATTTCCACAAGCGTGGACCTCACCAACATGTGGTATCAGTATCCTCAAACTTTTTCATCCAAGCTGTGCTTTGTAGAAAGACCTTCATCATCCTCACCAGAAAGGGATGTCCCAAACTTCTAACCTCTCTTTTTAAATTAGAGCTTAATAATTATACATAGCAGTTGGGTTCATCCCAACAAACTCATACATGCATGGAATTCAATTTTAGTTCATGATCCCCCGTTCCCCTCCCACACATCCAACCTTCTCTTAAAGGGAGAGAGAAAAAGCTGGGCGCAGTGGCTTTACATTACACACCTGTAATCCCAGACACTGAGGGTCCCAGACACTGAGGCTGAGGCAGGAGGATCACAAGTTCAAGGCCAGCCTCAGCAACTTAGTCAGGCCCTAAGCAATTTAACAAGAACCTGTCTCAAAAAAATAAAAATAAAAAGGTCTGGGGTTGTAGCTTAGTGGAGAAGCACCCCTGGGTTAAATCCCTAGTACTGAAAAAAGGTGGGGAGGGGAAGAGACTTCACTCAGCTCCAGGCCCTTTGCTACACACCCATTGCCTCTTAGGCAACAGAGATAAGGGAGCCAAAGTGACTTGCTTGAAGTTACAGCAGGAAGTGACGGAAACTGGACTCAAAACCAGTCCTAAATGCTGCTAGTCCATACTCTTTTCACTGTTTTTACACCCAACTAACATTTACCAAGCACTGATTACACACCAGAGCTTGGAAAATAAAAAATGAATTACAGGCCCATTCTTATCACATAGCAATATTCAATAAATGTTTTTTTGAATGATTATTGAAACAAGGAGCTCAAAACCCCCAGGAGAGAGACACGTCAAAAACGTTTGGGATTGACTGGTGACATGCTACCATAGATGCGATAGATGCATGTTCCACTGCCGCAGGCATAGATGAGGGGGAAGTTTAGTTTCTTTTGAGGAGATCAGAGAGGACTTACACTGGAGATAGTTTATGTCAAACACAAAAAGAAGAAATGAGTTCTCAGAGGGAACAAGTACAAAGGCAAGGGAGTGTGAAGCTACATTGCCCTTGGGGGAATTATGCTGATTTTTGCTTGCTGGGGAGTTGCTTCCTTCCTGGATTGAACCAAAAGCATCTGACTCAACTCAACTCAGTTCACTGGAACTTCTATACATGCCTGTTAGGTACCCGGCCCTGTGTGAGATGCTTTACATTCATTATCTCACTGAATCCTTGCAGGTTTCCCCATTGCCCAGATGAGAAAACCGAGGCTCAGAGAGGTGAAGAATCAGCACAGTAAAGGAGTTCACCCTCTCTGTTCTTTCCACACCAAACTCTCCCCCAAGGATACCAAGGCTCTCCTTTCCCAGGTCTTAACTCCTAAGGAAAAATGTCCTCCCAGGAAATGTGAAAGTCCATAATTAGTTGCCCTTTGGATCAGGGGACTTTTCTGCCCATTCCATTTTCTCTTTTCCTCCCCAGGACACTGGAAAGGAAAATGCAGATATAGTCATAAAATTTTTAATCCTTGGCCAGACACTAAACTAAATGTCATCCTCATTCATTTAACAAATAATTATTGAGCATCTGCTATGTGCCAGGGAATGTTCTCAGTACTGTGGATACAAAAGTGAATAAGACAGACCAGACTCCTGTCTTTGTAAGGGCAAACTTGCAATAACTTCTCAGTGTTCAAAATAAAGGTTTTGAGAAGTTATGTGACTTGTCCAGGGTCTAACAGCGACTTTGTTTCAATTAGGATTGAAACCCAAGTCTACCTGACCTCTGGTGCTTTCTCTTTCCATGATGGCCTCTCATCTCCCTCTTGCTTTGCCTCTCCTCAAGTCTCTGTCCAGCAGGATGAGCTCAGAGAATGTCACCTGGGCCAGGGTTGCCCCTGTTGAATTCATCCTCCTGGGCATCACGGATCGCTGGGACCTGCGTGTGACCCTCTTCTTGATCTTCTTGCCCGTCTACCTGGTGAGCCTGCTGGGAAACATGGGCCTGGTGCTGCTGATCCATGGGAATGCCCGGCTCCACGCCCCGATGTACTTCTTCCTGGCCAACCTCTCCCTTCTGGATGCCTGCTATTCCTCAGCCATTGGCCCCAAGATGTTAGTGGACTTGCTGCTGCCCCGTGCCACCATCCCGTATGCAGCCTGTGCCCTCCAGATGTTTATCTTCGCGGGGCTGGCTGATGCAGAGTGCTGCCTGTTGGCCGCCATGGCCTATGACCGCTATGTGGCCATCGGGAACCCGCTTCTCTATACAACGGTTATGTCACCACGTCTGTGCTTGGCCTTGCTGGGGGCATCAGGCCTGGGAGGGGCAGTGAGTGCCTTTATCCACACAACTTTCACCTTCCGCCTGAGCTTCTGCCGCTCCCGGGAGGTCAACAGCTTCTTCTGTGACATCCCTCCACTACTGGCCATCTCATGCGATGACACCAGTCTCAACGAAGTCCTCCTCTTCGCCGTCTGTGGCTTCATCCAGACAGCCACGGTGTTGGCCATCGCTGTGTCCTACGGCTTCATCGCGGGGGCTGTGGTCCGCATGCGATCGGCCGAGGGCCGCGGGAGGGCAGCCTCTACCTGTGGCTCCCACCTCACAGCTGTGGCCATGCTATATGGGACCCTCATCTTCATGTACCTGCGTCCCAGCTCCAGCTATGCCCTGGACACAGACAAGATGGCATCTGTGTTCTACACCCTTGTCATTCCAGCTCTCAACCCCCTCATCTACAGCCTCCGCAACCAGGAGGTCAAGGAGGCCCTGAGGCGGACCCGGAGTCGATTCTGCTGTCCAGAGAGGGGTACCAGGGACTGGTCCCAGGAGGCTGGTTAAGTCTGACTATGGAAAGACGAGGACACTCTGTCCCATCACCGCAGGAATGAGATAGCTGTTCTGATTTGGATGTCTTCTGTCATTGTTTAAGGGATTATCAAGGGGGAAATGGAAGCATCCAGGAGGGAGACAGGAAGCCATGAGTATTCTATGGCTAGCCCTAGAGCCGGAATCGAGACCAGGTTAATGTTTCTATGGAGCTCCCTGAGGGTCCTCAATGTTCAAAATATAAAAGTTCCCAGATGTTACCGGGTAACGTAAAATAGCATGATTTGCCACCTAAAGAACAAGCTGATTGGAGCTGGGGCTGTAGCTCAGGGGCAGAGCACTTGCCTAGTATGTGTGAGGCACTGGGTTTGATTCTCAGCACTGCATATAAATAAAGGCCCATCAATGTCTAAAAACAAAATTTTTTTTAAGTTACATTGTTTTAAAAAGAAGAGGAGGAGGAGGAGGAGGAGGAGGAGGAGGGGGAGGAAGCTGATCCCCAGAAAGGCTAAGTGAGAGCTGTGTGGTCTCCAGGTATTCCTAGATTCTCATGGCCAGTGAGTATGCTCTGAACTCCTTGACCACAGGAGGGTGGCCTCAGAAACCACTCATGCCAGAGTGAATTGATGAAGCAAACATTCCACCCTTGTGTATTTCACATCTCAGGAAAATGGCTGAGTGGTTGCAGGACAAACAGAAGCTCATTCCTTAAAATTACTGCACTTGGGTTTGGATTTGGCCAAGGTCACACTAATTCATGCTCATGGTGGAGGTTAATTAGAATCTGCATTATGATTATAGTTAGAATAGGGTTGGAATTATGGTTATAATAGCCTTCAGGTTGTGGCTACCAGTTGAAGAGCTTAGGGTTCAGGTTAGAATTAGGCATTAATCAGGTAATTATGGATGGATTAAAATTATGAAAATTGTATGATTCAGATTGGTTTTTTATTAGTAGCAAATATGGGATAAATTTAGGAGTCAGAGTTTGGATAAACTTAAGACTGGTTGGAAAAGTTGCAAATATCTTGGGGTTAATGTTAGAGCATAAAACTGATCAAATTGGGCTGTGAGTTACAGTTTAGTTTGTATTAGATATCAGGTGAGTGGTGTGTGGTTAATGATTGTGATAAATTTGAGTCATGGTCTAATTATTACAGGTTAGGCTGGGGTGAGAACTAGAGGAAAGGCACAAGAATATTTTATGTATCAAACTGGCATGTTTTGGTGACTTAAGACTTAAGGTTATGGAAAATGATTAATGTTTCTTAAAACCTAAGATATTGGAAAATGGTGAATTTAGTTAAATTTCATTTGGAATTACAAACTCACTCAGATTAGCATATGATTAGAGTCAATGCTCTGTGCTAAGATTAAGACATCCAGAGCTAAGGTTGTGATGAGGAAAGGGAACACCATCACCCTGACCTCTTGGGCAACGGTAACTGCAGTGCACCAAGTCGTGGGTTAAAGTACACCCTTCAGAACCAGTGTTCTTCAGCCCTTCACACACCCATAGTTCACAATTTTTGTAGACTTCCTTTGTCTTTTTGACTCAGTTTCACATGGGCAAATCCAAGGCACTGCAGCTGCCTGGGAAGCACTTCCATGCAGGAGCAAGACAGGAGTTATGGGGCAGGAGCTTCCAAAGAGAGGCGGAACACAGCCAACAAAAAATGTCTACTCCTGCCTTATCACCCTTCCAGTTCCCTGATTATGGATGAGGGGGTTCAGGGTGGCAATGTGTGGGACTCAAGCAATACTTCACTATGACCCCAAAAGGCTCCCAATGGAGTCTCTTCCTTGGGCCCCCGTCTGGGCTAGCCTCATCCCTCCACTTTCCTCTTTAAGGAGAAATCAGCCACCTGGCACTTAGATTGCAGAAAGACTACAGGCTTCAACCTGGCTTCCTGGGAAGGTAATGTTCCTTGTTATCGGAACCAGGGTCCTCTCACTTAGTAACTATGGCGTTCTTGGAGATCCCAAGCTAATGGAGAGAAGAATGTAGATAAGATGTCTCCTCGAATCTTAAAGAACTTCATAGTTTTCCTGAAAGAATGACAACTCATCCCTGTTTGCTCAGAACTATTCCAGTCTTATACTCGAAGTCCCATATCCCAAGATGGCACTCAGTCCTGGGCAAGCCAACATAGTTGGTCACCCTATTTCCTGATGAAATGGTATCTTGAGAGCAGATATACAATATCCCAAACTCAGCACATTTGGACAAAAGTTTGATAAATAAATTTAAACATCTTCTCCAATTACAAGCTTCTATCATCTTTTCCCAATTCCCCAACTCCTCCTGCCTCCTGTCACCATAACAATCCATAAGCCACAACAAAGGCTGGAAGTATTATCAGAAGAGTTGTCAATGGCAGGACTGGGAACTTAAGATTTGCCCCCAGTTTATAATGTATGGATTTTCATCCACTCAAAGATCTCCTTTATGGTCTGTGCTTCTTTCTTGGAGTTCTCAGGGCATGGAGTACCCACCACAATGAGGAGAGTTTCCCAAGGGGCCGGTGCCCTACATCTTGGCCTACAGGATGTGCTTAGGTGCTTCCAGAGACAATAACTACATGAATCCTAGAAACCAATCCGAGGAGACAAGTTGCGGGCTATTACACTGGGCCTATTTGATAGATAAGAAAACAAGAAAGGAGAGGGGGCGGATTTGAAGACAGTAACAGGGCCCACCCTGGAGAACAAAGGAAGAGAAACTGTCAGATTTCCATTTCTAAAGTGAGATACCCAGCAGGGCTCATCCAACTCTGATAACAATATCCCTTTTAACCTCCTTCACCACTATTTACTAGGACAGACAGTGAGAAGAACAGGGAGTTTGAAGTGGGGAAAGCTGAGGGTCTTATTTGGAGCACTTACTATAACAGAGGAGTTGGGCTCAGCAACATGAGTGGGAATCGAGAGGAAGGGGCATTATGTTGGGGGCAGGGACAAATGTAAAAGAAAGGCACAGGAGTAAAGTAAGGTCAGGTGGGGAGAAGATTCTAAGAAGACCAATTTAACTGGCTTGAGAGGAGTGTATTGGGAAAGACACAGAGGGAAGTTTGAAGACTGAGGATCTGGGATGAGAAGGGCACCTGCAGCTTGGATATGAGGTAGGGGAATTTGGACTTTACTCAACAGACAATAGGGAATCATTGAATTTCATATTTAGAATCTTTCTTTTATGGTGTCATGGAAAGCCATTCCCATCTGGAATGCTACATGTAGACACAATTCCCTCTTAGCACAAACACACTGAGAAAAACACACCCTCACCCTAGATCCAGACTCCTATGGGAAACATTCCTGAGCAAAGGGACAGTCTCAGAGGTGTGGCCACCCCCACAGATGCAGATGCAGCTGCACAATTAGACACACTCAAGCTCCTGGACACATATGGTTACACAGGGCCATGCTCTCCCCACACCCAAGCACACACTCTACACACAGCCATGTATATTGCCATAGTCACCAGACGGACAAACCCTCTCAGACCTATACTTCCTATAAGAGGCTGCCAGCCCAGCTGAGGTCACAGGAGGGTTGGCCCCAGAAGCTACTGCTATAAACCCTGGACTCCCCATCATTCTTCTGGGGGTCCAGAGATCAGCCTCATCCTTCTTTCTCACAGGGAGCAGCAGCTTTGCCATACACAGGGCTTCTGAATGTCCCGAGTTGGAAGCAGCACCTATCACCTCATCTCCCACCAAATTGGGCCCAGAGAGAAAGGATAACAAGTCCCAGAGCTGAGCTTCTTCCTACTCTAGAGATGAAGGCTGGGGCAAAGGGGGTTGCCTCTGAGAAGTTAAGTTGCCCTCAAGGTCCCCAGTCCCATAAGTGCAGCCAATCATTCCCTCCTCAGACTCTCCAGTGACAAGCTACATCCAGACCCTGCTGATGCTTCCTCCTGTGATGTGGGAGGGCAGAGGATACACTTGGGGACAAGGGTCAGGCTTCAGAATATGCAGCTGTCCTCCTGTGTGTGACAGTGTGTGTGAGTCCTATGTGTGAGTGTGAGAGCATGTGCTGTTTGTGAGGCTGTGATTGGGCATTGCCGTCACTGCACAATGGTGTCACTGGGAATGGAAGCAGTGCATATGTGGAAGTGCCCCTCTAGGGTAGCACATCTCTCTGTGATCCATGACGGGCCCAGGTGAGTGTAGCCATATGCGTGAAGATGCAAGGCTATGGACTCTGAAGCTCTGCATGACTGTGTGATCAACAAGGAGATTGGGTGTGAATGGGTGTGCATGAACAGGCACCTGGGAGAGTGCTCACAAAGAGAAGGTGCCAATGAAAATGTACATGATGGTTCACAGCACATATCATCTGTGTATGGTGATACATGCTGCCACAAACAGGCATATATAAACAATTGTCACCCTCTAAGAGCTTATGCAATTACATTTGACTGTGAGTTTACACGTATGCTGTTCTGGGTCTTTAAATCTTGTGGTTCTACTTGTCTGCCTACTTGAAAGTGAATGCATATGTTGGTTTCACATTTCTGGTACAATTGATCATGCCTGTGTATTTGCACATTTGCACACTTGCTCGTGTGTGTTTGCAACTACATATAAATGTTTCTACAGTCGGCTCAGTATATCTGAATGTTTATTGGGACCAATTTAAACAGGTTGGAATTTCAGTTTCCAAAATCAGGTTTCTCCTCCATCCTACCCAGTCACCCTTATGCTTTTCACCTCTTGGAAATTTGGAAATGATTGGTAATTTGAAAAAAGAAGAAGAAAAAGCTTAACAGGGAGAGGATGCCAGAATGTTCTTCTTAACTGGTAGAGGAAGAAGAGGAGGACCAAAGGATAAGGAGGTCTCTGTCTGATTGTCATTTTTTTATAGAGAAAGATTTAAAATAAGAGATCATTCTCCTGCAGAGGTAGTCTCAGCATAGTCTTCAGCAAACCTGTGTCCCCAAATCCTCTCATTTTAAAGCCCCTCTTAAAGGACTTCCCAAAGTGTCTACAATGATATTCAGACATGGAAAA